AAAGAAACGCTTCGTCGTATATATAAATGATCACTATTTGCAGAAAGACGCAAGTCTTTACACGCGCGACGCGATATCAGCGTCCAAAGAGTTCCTCGCACATTCTTCATCGTTATTCCCTCAGTATGCTATAAGGATACGAAGATATGACGAAATTGTTTACCGCCGCGCCGAGGCGAAGCGAGGCCCAGATGTGATCGCGCGTGACGCCTCTGCACGCATCGTGAAAACAGTAAGATCGGAGGTGGTACCAGCGGATCTCGACGACGGCACGAAGTGCAGATATATCCCGTTTTAAAGCGTCGTTTGCATATTTTGCGCCTCGAGGCGGCGCGTTTTCGGTCGCGCCGCTAACGGTGGCCTGCCACTCTCCACTTGGCTATTTCTCTTTCTTCTTCCATCCCTTTCTCTCGGTAGCTCTCGTTCCCTCCTTCCTCATCTTTCTTTCTCTCTTTATTTCATTCTTCTCCGTCTCTCCTTCTCTATGCGCCCTCCGAAAGTGCGTGTGCATCACGAGAGGATTATTCCTCATTTCGCTGATCTCCCTGAAGCAAGCGAGCTACAAGAATCGCAAGAAGCTTGCTTCAGAGATTCGCTCGATCATTCTCAATCACGCATACCGGATCGCCGCTGCTCATTCTGCCTCTCTCGATCACCCGAAGGCGATCCTCGCTCATTCACGCGATTTCCATTCATCCGGCGAGAGCATAGTTTACTCGCGCGTCGGGAATCTCGAGAGAAGCTGAATATAGTAGCGCCAGATCATGAATCCGCGAATACACACACGCTGTTTTTTTTGGAAAAATAAAATTTCAAATCTTCTTCTTCAAATTTTAGACGCATAATATTTGATATGAACATGGGAAAAATTGACCAAAAATTTTATGACTGGTTATTTTTCAAATATATAATTAAATACTGACAAAAATTTGACAGTTTATATGGAATATTTTATTGTCTAGATTTACCCGACATTTTTTTCGCGTATCTTCTCCAAGATTATGATGGTTTTTCGTGTTTTATTTTCACGTGTCAAAAATCATTTCTGAATACACAGTCATCAGAATATACGCACAGTTTGTAAATCTCTTCGCATTATTTCTAAGTGTTATCCCGGCAACGTTGCGTTTATTCTTTCTTAGTTTTTGCCGTTAGTTGATGGGGGTTTAAACGATGAAATGCGAGCGTTAAGAGCGACGGAAGAAAAATCGGCCGACTCTTAACGACCGTCAACCCTTCTCGATCCGAAACGTACGAGCGGGCGTGGCGCGAGGCAATTTGGGGAAAACATAATTTAGCGGGCGTGGCAACCACTACGTGCAAGGTGCAACGAAAATGAGATTTTTTATCGTACGTCATCGCGATGCACGCGAGTGCTCACCCCCTCCTCAAGTGTCGATCTCTTCGCGCTGCCTTTCTCTTATATATACATATATATATATACACGGTTCCTTAATCGCGAAGCGTGTTTCGAATCTACTGTAATTATTGATTTATAAAACTGGTAATTATTTTTCACTAGACTCTACGAGGGTGTGTTAGATGATTCGAATCATATAAAAGGAAGAAGATTTATGCCAGAAGAAATTCCTCTCTATTTCTTATTATATAACATATCGCTTGCCATTTCCTTTTTCCTTTTTCGGAAATTGCGTTTGATAACTTCATCCGCTTTATGCATCGCGCGATGAAACGCGAGAAACATTCGCTATCTCCCCTGCAAAGATCCTACATCCTCTATTACAGCTGCCACATAAAATAATTGCAGCTTGTAACGTAAAACGAACTCCGCTCTCTCTTCCGCGTCTTTATCGCTCGGTATATACGCACTCTCTTCGTATATCCGAACACTAAAGGCATAACGCACGAGGGACCGAGCGACTCCTCCTCGCAGTCAGATCGGCGAGATGCGAAAGAAGATGAAAGAAACTCCAAGAGAGAGAGAAAGAAGAGAGAGACCGCGAACGAATTCGCACTCTCACCGGAGATATATCAATCCGAGTACATATGAATCTCGCTGACAGGCTTAAGGCTCGCGGCACGAACGAGTCTCGGACAGGTGCGATTCTCGTGACAGAAGCGCGATTTGCGTATATATACACACATACATATACACATACATACATATATATATATATATATATATATATATATATATATATATACATATATGTGTTTGTATATATATATATATGCGTATACTTGTGCGCATTACATTCGAGACCCAGCGTGTTGAATTAGGTGGAAAGGCAAACAAGACGCGTACGCCTTCCTTTAGCGCGCTCTCGAACGACGGCCATTAATAAGTCGAGCTGTGAATCGAGGCTTTTTCTTTCTCATTTTTATTCCGCTTTTGCATTGCGCGAACATCCTCGTATTCGTTTCGATTCTATTCTTCCGCCGAAGAAATGAAAGATGCGAATGCAAATTGTGTTAATTGGAGAGACGACGCTTCCTTATTCTTATTAGAAAGAATGTTGCAAATGTCAAACTACAAGAATTACAGAGAGAGTCTTATTTGGAAATCTATACTTGCAAATTATGATAAATTCAATGATAATGATGTATAATTTAAAAAATCTTAATAATTTCTGAAATCTCTGTTATTTACACAATCACTGCCACTTGTGTTAAAATATTGTTATAATTATTATAATATATATAATTGTAATAAATTGTCACTTGACACATTATTGTTCAATTCCACGTCTTTTAACTACAGTATTATATTATTTAAATTTCATGATTACACAATCATTTTTATCATGTTCTCTTGCTTATTTTCTCAGATATTAAATTTAATTTTCCGATATTTCATTAGACAACTGATTTGAAATTATAATAGTGACAAAGTATAATATTACATAAGAATCTAAATCTTGCGTAATTTATAGCAAACCTTTTTTTATCTCATTAAACATTTATTATCAGAAAAAGTGGCTATAAATTCACATGTTACAAGTTATGAAAGAAAAAAAGTAACAATTCTCTTCTCCTTTAACGCGAGATGTTGAAAATTATTTATAATATAATAATTGTATTAATAAGAAATGATAGCAACTTCTTTTTTCAGACCAACGAGACAGTGTCAAAAAAATCTTATTTTGTTGAAGTAAAAATGTGTATTTTAATTAAGAGTTTAAATTAAGAGTTTAACAAGGCTCTGTAATATAAATATAAATTTAAAGTGTAAGACAGGCAATAAGAGCCAAATCGCGGATAACAGTGCGTTATCCCAACGAAACTAAAATTTTTTCCGTTAGAATTAATTACCTGTGCACAAGGCACCAAATTTTACTTGGTCACGGCCAAGATTTAAAATTGGAATAATCTCTACAAGAGATTTAATTCCATACATCCTCTCTTCCCCCTTAAGAAAATAAATGCGAGAGAAAAAGTGTATTTTAATATTTGAAATATTGTAATTATAGACGGCGTAATACGCAAAATATATATTGTCAAACATTGGTGAACATATTGATCTCTCTGTCTCCACAATAATATATTAATTGCATAGGGAAACGTACACATAATATTGTACGAAACCTTATTCTTTCCAATATAATTTAGTCAAATTTTTAAATGATACTACTCTATAAATTAGCCATAATATTTTTCTAAATATTTTATATATGTATATATATATATCAAATGACATCACTATTTAAGATCCGCTTTAAGATTCGTTTAAATCGCACAAAACACAATTACGGATTAAAGTACTTTCAAAAGAATAAAATACGATGCGTCGCACAAAATTATAATTCAGAATGCGGCGTATAAAAAAAACCTTCAAAGTTCTTCCATCGATAAACGTGCATGATTGATTGGAAATATCGCAAATACTTGCAACCGATTATTTTAGCGCCGGTGATCTGGATCGCAGATATTCAGGCTTCGCGCATTTTTACGCGCACGATCGGATGGCTTTTATTGGCGAAGATACACGCACGCACGCATGCACGCAGACAACACACACATGTGCGCAAAGCGCAACGTAAGGATTTTTTTTACGACATACGAGCTTTTACATACTCGCGCAACGCTGCGCCGGCCCGCTTCGACGACGTTGACGCTAATTAATGCCGAGTCGCTCATTTGCATGCATGAAAACGATTTTTGCCGCGCTCGCGCTTATATCACGCCGATATTAATTGCAAGAGTATATTAATCGGTTGAAAGAGAGAGATGCGGCGAGAGAATACAAAATATCTATGTGATTCACCGCACGAAAACCGCAATTTATTGCTATTGCAGTAAAATCAGTCGTGTCAATCGAGACCGACCGATAGATCGATCTGTCTCTTGAGCGTTCAGATTTATCACTAGTGAACGATATATCTTTGCTTAGACTTTGAATTTTCTTCGTGATCGACGATCTCGTCGAGTTATCGTCGAGCGACTAGTTATAGAACGCAAGGATTTTAATTGATAGAAGTTAATCGGTGATGCACGCGAATCTCTTAAAACGTGCAATATCATCGCAACATATCGATTTATCACTGTCATTGTGGTGCATTTAATTAATCTTCGTTAAAGACGTCATACGTCTTGGTCCGCCGTAATAACTTACAAGTACTTAGGCATTTAATGACCAGCGAAAATTGAAAATCGTTCTTACAACGCTAATCGCACTCGACTTGCATGCAGAATCGATTAATTGCTCGATGTTTTAGTTGTGTTCCTTTTCTTTTCTTTAGAATAATATTTGCTAATTTTTTGTAATAATGTGTCTATATATATATAGTATGGAACATAATAAAAATTTTAATATTCTGATAATAATATTATAATTAAACATTTATCATATGTGCAAACATGATGAAATGCTTGTTCACGCAAACTAATATAATATAAAGATGGAAGCAGACGTGAAATATCTTCCTAACGATGATATATTGCTACGCCGAAGCAAGGTCGAGGTTCCAACAATATTTGGAACCAACAAGCGGGGGTGTTTCTATTTCCGTTGCAACATGTCATCGTCTAATAATACTTACTTTGATGTACTGCGCATCGTTCAGCATTTAATAAATCCACATGTTCCTCTTTCAAAGCGACCCGGTTTGAAACCGAGCTGACTTGTTCGTTCAACGTGTAATCCTGTTGACACTCTGTCCGTTTCAAAAGTTTTCAGGATATGTGGTTGAAGAAATTTGACACTGAAATATGGCAGATCGTGTTCATAGAGCTAAATATTCATCTTTTCGCGATTTTAAAAGACCAAATAATGCAATTATTTATGAATGAAATAATTTTTAATATAATTCTAACATTTCTTTTCACGAAAAACGTTATTTTGTACTGTTTTTTAAGACTATTGAAATTAGTTTAGTCGATTAACAAATTTCGAAGATAAATCTATATAATTTATAAATAAAATGTTTATATACAGAAAATCGAATTTACAATTATAATTTTATTTCATATTATCGTATTAAATTTTAGAGACAAATCATAGATTTTCCATCCGCGGAAGCAATATGCCGCGAGTTGAACTTGATCAAATTGTCAAACTATATAATTGTCTGTATGATGATCTTTCGATATCTTGTAAACACTTGAGAAGTTTATTATAATTTTTTCTATTCTCTAATATAGCACTATTAAACTCGCATCAAACGAATAAAATTACACACTATTAACTCTTCTTCAATATTCGAGCTGTCAAATTAAAATCTTCATCGCTCAATCACAAATCCTCATCAATATAAAATAACGTACAGTACGTATTAAGATAATCGCATTACGAAAAAGAAGCAATAATAACTTTCGATTTATCTTTGAATAATTGACTTTACATTTTTAAGAAAGGATAGATTAATATATCACATTAAATTATTATTCACAGCGTAAGCACAAATTTGAATATTTAGAAAAAGTGTAATTGGAACAACTAATTTGCGCTTTTCGATAAATTCTCAAGTGTCAAATATCCATTACGTTTGTATTTAAAAAAGTTGACGTGCTGTAATATAAGATCACGCAGATTATGTATTGCAAGGTAAGAAATTGTATAACTACAGAGGCGGCAGAGCGTCAAAGGATCGGTCCGAAGTGTCCGAATAATTTGATTGCCGGCGTCTTAATTGCCTTTAAGACCTTAACATATAGGTGTGATTTTATAATCGTAATGACAAGCAGTGATGAGGATAATTGCGATAAGAAATCATGTTTTCTCGAGATGAAAAGAAAAGAAACAAAATTATAAATTTTAATTTTTTTCATAGAACCATCACGAGCCTCTGCTTACATCGGAGGATGCCGATAAAATGATGGTTAATGATCTCGTAATCTCGAATCGCGAAAGGTAGATGAGATGCGAGGAAATCTTGCTACGGAAATCTTACAGACATATAACGACCGCGATTCTCGCGCGCGAAAAATCGTCTTCCATTTTCTCGCGGCGCAAAATCTCTCAATTTATTATTTTACTTTCGTTTATTAACTTCCTCACGGTTTCTTCCTGTTCGCGATACTACGAGCTCTCATAGTCGATCTTCCTGCCTTGGTCTTGGCCTCGCACCCAATGAGATACGCTAGGAGAGAGAAGAGAGAGAAAGAGAGAGATAGATGAGAGGGAGGGAAAGAGAGAGAAATTTTTTCCCGAAGAGGCAATTTACGGTAAAATTGCTTGGCGAGGCGTGAAGAATTTTGAGAGGCGTGCAACAAGTGGTTGGGTGCAACAAGTTATTGCCGGCGACGCGTCTGGCTCTTTCCATGCCTCGTCGTATCTCCTCTGTTCGTATGACTCTCTCCTTGCTTTTGTGCTCATCGCGAGATTCTCGGATTCAACATGCTGCACACGGTACATTTTGCGACAATCTCGTTTAAACTCGACAGGATGTTTGATCTCTCGAACTGTGGGTGCAACTTATACAAAATCCGTGTTGCAATCAGCGGACGACAATATTCGAACGTAGATTTAACTTCTCGAATTCAAATATGCTATTTATTATTTTTCCATGTTTGATTCCAGTTCGATGGAAACATCAAAAATGTCAATTTAAACTTAGAAAAAAATATTATTTAAAAATATATAAACTTGACGTGTTATATTCTCTGATAAAAGAGAAATGAAAAATTCAAACCCGATAAAGCTGATTATGCAAGTGCATTTTCGGGTGCAATTGATTTTTTTATATACTATAAGTAAACATAAATTGATTTTATATCTTTAATATAATCAAATATTTATTTTTGTATCTTTTCCTTTTGTTTCTAATAGATAACTGTACTTAATATCCAATTTTATTAAATTTTCTAATATATTTCTTTTGTTAATGTATCGCAAGAAAATTGTATTAGAGGTCTTCCCCGTTTATAAATAACTAAATAAATGGATGTCAAAAGTATATGTATCAATATGAAGCGACGCGCTAAGAATGTTCGGCGACGATTGAAATATTTAAGCCCGACGATCCCGATAATAAATCGTTTATTACCCTTCCTTTACAAGTCAGTTGATTTATATCTGACGCTTCGCGCTTGCTGTTACATCATCGGTGTCGCGGAATCGATGTCCAGCGACAATCGAATAACTACATGCGCCCGCTAATAATCTCCGCGGGCAATTGGACGATCGCCCTGGACAAGGTCCAACGCGACGCGACGCGTAGACTCGTACGCTTGAAATAGTAGCGAAGAATCGTCTCGCAGCCGCGTGCGCGCGTCCGCGGTCTCTCCACGTGCGTCTAAAGCAGACGACGACCGCGGAGATGATGAAGAGGAGGGAATGGACCACGGCAGCATCCCGAGTCTCCGCGGAATGAGCGATGATTGTAACGTTTCACGCGGTCCGCGTCGTTGCCGCGAAACGACATATACGTCGTCGGCGACGACGATGACGACGACGACGACGACGACGAGGCTAGAGCCGCGTGTCGGTCACGCCATTCCGCGATTGGCAAGACGGACGACAGGGTGGATAGACAAATGGAGAACGCCGCCGACTCGCGTGGGTGGTAAGTTCGTCGCGTCTGAGTCTGAGCCCGTCTGAGCGGCCGTCTCGTTGCATGACACGTACAGAAATGTTCCTCTCTTACGAAAGAGAGAGAGAGAGGGAGCGCACGAGCGCTTACGTAAGTCATAATCGAGTTGTACAAAGTGCATCGGAACTTTTTTGCATCTGCGCTTGAGCGTTTATACGACGCATGAGTGTTTCTTTGCTGTTAACCCTCTTCTCTTTTAACCTCTCCGATTTTATCTGATATCAGTGTGAACAATAGTTATTCTAATTGAAGAAGAAGATGTAAGGATAAATTATATTATATTGTGTAAGAACAAAATAAAAAGGATGACTTTCTTTATCGAGTTATATTGCATTTAATAGGAAAAATTCATAATTATTTGGAGGCTGTTTTGAAAAAAATTTATATGCTTGTTAAAATTGATGCAAGATAAATTCGTGCATCAAGAGATTACTGCTCTCTGGTGTTCAGTTGAGACATTATAATCAATAGTTATATATTTAATAATTTGCCTAAAAAGAGGAATTTTGTAATTTTTAGCAAAAATCGCGTTTATTCATTTTTGCATAGATAATATAAGTGCTGTAATTTTTAAAATCAGATTATTTAAATAAATGAAAATGATACAATATAAAAGATCTCTGTAACAATCTAAACAGGGCTCATATTTTTGTACTATTAATGATTTATCGAATCACCATATAAGATGCAAGTTTCTATGATTTTATTATCTAGTGGATAAATTATACCTCTTTGTTTCAAAGTGCGCCCACACGCGAGATTCATCTAGCGATCGTGAAATCGGAATTGCATGTTCAAATTAGCGACGCGACAGCTTCGCTTTCAACACCACGACCGAGATACCTATTCTCAAATGACAGTGGTTCGTCTCAGTCAGCGATCACGTTAACCGGGTGCCGTTTTACAATACGATATCACTGTCATCGGTGTCATCGGCGACTCGGATTGCAGCTAAAGTCGCATTTAAAGAGGCAGCGGTATCGCGAATCTTACGCGAGATATCTTGCCAGACAAATGCAATGGAGAAGTTGCATCGTGCAAAAACTGCATCGGTGCCGCACCAAAGAGTTCGCAAATTTCTAGGCTCTGAAACGAAAACGTAGCTAGCTGTGTGATCGAAGGAAAAAACTAAATTTATAATAAAAGTTTTGGCTCGTATGAATTCAACAAATTGATAAAAGAAAGGCCACCTAAGACGAGATACTTTAATTTAGGATGTCAAACGAAATTTATTATTACGAACAGCAGTCTTTCTCAATATATTAAATTTTACAATCGATGCATAATAAATCAAATAAACAATAAACATTTGAAAATGAAAGATTGAAAAACCCAAGATTAAAACATCTATGTTTAAAAGTATATGTTAATTCGCATATTGATAATTAGTCTATGTTATCTAAAATGTTTTGCAATGTTACAAATATAATTAATTATTAGGACCATGTTCCAAAGAAAAAATTGTCAGCTCAAATTTGTCGTTAGTAAGCGAAAAGTGAGGTAGTCCGATTTCTTTAGGAGTCAATTTTTTAAAATTCTTAGCTCGGTGCGTGGTTGAAATATATTACTATTGATGTTTATTGTTATATTTATTTAAACCGTTCTTAGTCTTAATTATGTTTAAGAGACAGATAAAACTAACTCTAAGTTGCAAAAACTCGTTTGATGTGTTTCTATTCGTAATAAATTTTGTTCGACACCCGAATTAAGGTAGCTCGTTTTAGTTGGCCTTTCTTTTATCAATTTGAAGGAAAAAACATTGAAGAAATTATTCAAGGGAAAAAATGAAAAGTGACATTTGCTTGCATCTTGCATTAAGCGAACAAGTTGTAAGAAGGGAAGATAGTGGCTGTACCGGCGCCTCGAACATAATCCTTGACAACACTCTCATTGTTCCGTTCACGTGGAACATAATTTATGAGTTATGACGTTCCTCTTTCCAGAACACGTTACTCATCTTTCTCTCCCCCGTACTTGCTCGTCTAAACAAAGCAGTCAAATGAAAGGAGTTTCTCCCGTGTCGGACATTGTCCCGCGACAAGTCGCGTTTGCGAGACGGTGGCTAATAAGCGCGCGATGGGATCACCAAAATTACCGTTTGCTTGACAAGTTGGATGATGAGTGAGTCACATGCGCGCGCACGTAGACAAATGCATATAAAGCCACTACGTTGTCCGACGACAAAGTGTCAAGTACCGCATAATTTCGTCGCGTGCGAGATGCAACACGGCTCGCGAAACATATCGCAAATCCACGAGATTCTCGGATAATCATGTGAGAAATTCTTGAACGATCGTGAAATTGTCGGCGACAAAGCATGGGGCAAAATATAATTGTCCATCGCGATAAAACATTCGGCATGTTGACAGCTCGACATGTGCGTCAGTACGCGAACGCATTGCACGTACAGGTAAATCCACGTTGAGCATCGTGCTCGCAAACGTAATGCTCCCACGTCAATTTGATGTCTATGTTGTCACTCGCTCGCACTGACAATGAGAGAATAAACACGTGATATTTTGCGCACATAGATCGACGACTCTTAATCTCTATACGGAGTAAGAAATCTAAATTCATAAATTACATAATGTGCTTGTTATTTTTTATTACTTTAATTAATTTTTTTCTGTAGATAACTATTCAATACGTATGATTTTAAAAATATATATTTTTTGTAATGTGCACCAGAAAACAGATTCACCAGTAAATATAAATGTTTATGCTTCTTTTTATTAAAAATACATTTATAAAGAATAATAAATTTTTTTAAGTAAAATAAAAAATAAAAAAGTATTAATTTTGAGTTCTAATAAATGAAAGCATTTAAAATTGTCAGCTAATTAATGAATTTATTAATTTAACAATTATTTTCATTATTATGTTTATATTATTATTTTGGATATTTCTTACGTAAAATTAATTGCGTCTAAAATGCTGAATAAAAATAGCATTATCTAATAAACAAGTTAATTTATCCGACAATATTTTTCTCATTCATGCATCTACTGATGCATCTATGGTTTAATTATGGGCATACATATTCGAGACAATTATTATACCTTCTAATTAAATCTGTGATCATCGTGATTCTACCGGTTACTGAAGAAGCGAGAGTAATAGTGGAGAAGAGACGGAACGAGAAAGAAATAGGGAAAGAGAAAGAGAAGAAAGAGAAGGGAGAGAGAGAGCTGTCTGTCACACTGTCCGTCAAGAGGGATGTCGGGGGTGGTGAAGGAATAATAATAGCGACGATAATACATGGCTCACCTCTGAGGATCTGGACGTACCGAATCGTCCTCCATCTCTTACATGGTGAACATCGTCGCTTTTTCCTCGAGTTCTCTCTCTCTCTCTCTCTCGCCATCTCTTACATTGCACGTCTGTCTCTCTGATCTCCGCGTTCCGTCTTTAAACCCGTTCTTGTGTGTGTAACACATTTGAGGTGGGTGGCAACGGGTTAAACGAACAATAGTACACGTGTAGCCATCATGTCAAACTGTCATGTTGCCTCAAACAAAACAACAAAATACATCTCGACATCTCCCGCTACCTTCTATTCTAGGAGATCATTATTTGCGATTAACTTAAATGAAAAGGGACGTTTCCCGCAAATTATGATTGATACAAACATTATTCGCAAAAAAATTTAATTATTCTTTAAATTATTTTTATAATTTTTTTGCATGAAAAGACTGATGGATATGTGTATTTGTGTGTTATTTCACAGAGTTACAGATTTAAATATGTATCAAAAATTATATAGAGGACGTAGTAAAGTTATATTATTTTCATATTTTTCATTTCTTATTGAGTTTATAAGATTCTATATGAGCATACGAACAATGTTCTACAAGTATCAGACAAGCCAAGCTGTCATGTTGTATTTGTAGAAACAACAGTATTTATTTGCTCCGCGTACATATTTCTCTTTGATTCATATTTGTTCTTCAGACACAGATTGCTTCAGAGATTCTTTATTTGGAATGAGTATTGTGTGTGTGTTTTGCATTATATTCTTGTTATCAAAATTTTCAAAGATTTATGTCTGTTTTTCTTTTAATGTCACACTGAAAAAAATGTGTTAACTTCATTAAACTTTTCAACTAAATATTATTTTGTTAATTGAAGATATAAATATATTTAAATTAAATAAAACATATTAAATCTAACAAAATATATATTTGACTTAAATACTAATATATGTTCAATTAACAAATAGTAATTATAGTTGAAAGGTAAAATTAACAAATTTTTTTTCAGTGTAGGTGGAAGACATTGCAATTTTACTAATTACATAGCTTTAATACTATATACAATTTCTATTAAAATAAATGTATATTCTTGTATATACAATATATCTTGAAATATTTTCAAAAATATTTTATTTTTATATACTCTTTAAAAATACTAAGAAAGCAATCGAAATTAATACTTTTTTTAAAATTATATATACATCTCGCATTTAAATTATATACATCTCTCGACACTAATTAGTGAAATTGACGAACCTTCAGGATTGCCGATATTTTGGTATTAACAAACGCTAATTGAAAGCTATCATGAGTTATAAAATAGAGAGAATTCACGAAGACAGTATCTATCAAAATCCTGACGGAGAATTACTAAGGGCATCGTATAGTACTACACATGTGTATTCCGGTGAGACACAACGACGCCAGTAGAATTCAGACCCTAGAGGAAGACGACAAAGACGACCACGACGACGACGACGAGGCAGTAGACGACGACGAAGACCACGTCGACGCCTCGTCCGCGGCGACAGTGCCTGACGTCGGGTATGCGAGGAGAGCCGAAGAACTCTCGTGTGCTCGGTTATGTAACCACGCATGAAACTAATATATCAGAGTTGTCCGGCGTTTGTGGCAAACTTAGACCGCGCGTCTCGAGCCAAAGGCTTCCTCTCTTTCTTTCTCTCTTTCTTGACGTTCTGGGCAAACAAGAAACATCCGATGACTAAAAGTTCGATAGTTTTTCAACTATTGTTGCACTTTTGCGTTTGTAAATGACAGTTATATTTGTATTTCTTTATTAATAACTTCGATCATATGCAATGCGATAAATATGTTCTTAAAAATCTATGTGAATAATGAATAAATAATATTTATTATTATTCATCAATTCAGAAATATATTAATCAAATCGAGAACAACGTTTCATTTAAATAAATCGTTGGATAGAATTCGTTAGTGGCACAATGAGAAACTGTACGAGACACTAATAAATAAGATCTTTCCTCCCGGCGATTTTGACTGAAGTCCGGAGAGAGGAAGAATTTTTTCGTATTCAGACTGATGAAAAAGAGCGCGAACATCTGTTACTTCCAAAAAGTCCTGGTTGCTCCAGACATGGTTCTCCTTACCTTTTTCTGCCATTCCCTATACTTTTTCATTCTTTCGACTCGAGTCAACCGATATTATTCGCACGAAACTTGTTCTTTTTTTGCGATATACAAGATAAGATATTTAGTTTAACGAAACGCGAATTCGCAAAACATTATAAAATAAAAAAAAAAAAAATAGAAAAGAAAAAGAAAGGAGCGTGCACTCATGTGTTATCCAAGTGGAATTATCGCAATCTAGTCACAAAAATATAATAATAAAATTAATAACATTTAGATAGAAAATAGTCCCTCTTTAGTTTTAAAATTATCCTTCCATAGTGATTAAAAAAATCTCATTAGTAAAATGGAAATAGTAAAGTGTTGTGTGATAATTATTAAAATAGAAACTAGTATATCAGACAGAATGGCGCGATTAATAATAAGTTCTAACTATATCATCGTGAGATCTATATTACATTGCCTTAGAATGTGCAATGGAGAACTTTACCATATATGTAATGACTAGATTACATTATATAGAAAACTATATAATAGACTCACGTATTGCGTAATGCAATATTGTGCGAGACTGCGAGACGTTAGCGTATCGTAGCAGCAAAGCATGATGACAACTTCCGCGCATATATTTCGAGTGTCGTATAGCATACCGACGAGTTCAAAGAAGCGCAGAAGTCGTCGCGGAAAGCGAGATTGACTCTGCTTTCTCGATTTTAGGGTGTGCCTGATGGTGTGTCATCATAATGTTCGGGCTGTAGTATACACGTGCAACGCGTTGCGTATACTTATACACGCGCGTACGCAGCTTGAGAGACGCGCACGTCACCTTCATTGTCGATAGAACGTACGCGTGACACAGGCGTGTCATAATATGTGACATGTTACATGCGCGAGATTTACCGACGACACCCACGCGGCAGATGGACCGCGTGATACGATTGTCGCAAATCATTTCCGGTCCGCGACTGTCCTGCAGCTTCGGATGCAGATGGAATAATTTATTCGTACCTGATAATTAAAATTCGAATTGAAATATACACATATTTAGTTGATTTTACAAATTAAAAATAAATATTTCCGATATATGTGTTTTTCTTGTTAAAAGTAAACATGATTTTGAAATGATATTTTGCTCATATTATAAAATATGTGAAAAAGATTTTGCATAACGTGTAAAGATTAAAGATTTACATAAACTTGTATACTAATTGTATTTATTTATTTTTTATGTATCGTATATTATTTTTTGTTCATGTTTAGTTAAAATATTTTAATCGTGTGTTTCTGTGTGTGTGTGTAAATTAACATTAAAAATAGAAGAGCCTTTTTAAATAAATATGTAATTGTTTCGTCGTTTTTTAAAATATTTTTTAACGAAGTAATATTTGACATTTAAGATTGTATTATACTATAAAAAATAATATATTTACAATGATTGCAAAAACTAAAACTCTAAATATTAAATAAGATTTTCTGATAATTCTTTTTAAAAATTATTATCACATTAATAATCTCAATTATATATTGCTTTCAATTAAATATATATAGATTATTCTAAAAATTGTCTGAAAAAAATTTGAAATAATGTTTAATTTAAACGAAACTAAATAATTATTTCGAATAACCTGTACAGGAAATATATCCATTACACTGACGAGAGAGGTGCGGCTAATCAGCAAAGATTGTCACATCGGCATTTTCATTGGACATGCATGTTCGGTGGACACAATGGTAACCGTGAACGCAATGTAATTAACGTGGCGTTGCATGATGCGCATACGACAATGTCAGAGAATCGTCAGAGTTAGTAAACAGCGCGGAGAGAAACTTCACCGAGACGAGGCAACACCCACATGGCAGACGCGCTTAACCGCGCGAAGCGCGTCGCGCTGTCCCGAAATAAACTACGTTAAATGGATCGTAGCCGCTTGGACAATGAGAACGCAAAGTCAATTAACTCGGTGTCACTGGAATTCATGAAATGACTCCCACTGATCACGTCCGAACAAAATAGTTTCACGTAAATCGAAGATCTTACGAAACGTCGCTGGATATATAGCGTCATACCCAACTTTAAACTTGTAAAATAATATTGCCTGAATTTTGTATGATTGACAATTTGAAAAATTACTAATATTTAACAAAAACTAAAGCGTATTAGTGTTTTATAAAATTGAACTTTCGGAATTTGATATTTTAAAAGATTGAAAAGAGAATAGGATATAATAAGAGCCAGTACGTCGGAAATAAGAATAAAAAAATTTTTTACACTTATTCTTTATTTTTTAAGAAATGCTTCTTTATATTTCTTAAGAAATAAAAAATAAGTATAAAAATTTATGCGTTCTTATTTTCGAAGCGTCGGCTCTTATTAACCCATTCTTTTTAATCCTTATTTATTTGAATATATTAGAGCTCTCTATCGTAATAATTTGATATTTTATATACACTAATATAACTTTTAGATAGAAAAAATATATATTACACAAGAATGAAAAAGAAAATATATTATAGAACTGATAATAAAATCTGCGCCACATGCACATTATCCTCTTATCGCGGAAAGAGTCAAAGATGCGTCGATGATATATAATATCAATGATTAGCGTCATAATAAGGCGAGATGTTTAGCATAATTAACGGCTCATCAGCGCAATAAATAATGTATCAACGCGTTGCCGTTAACGTCACATTAAAAGTGTCCGTTACGTGATGTAGTTTCTAACCAAAAATAAAAAAAAGCATTCGGAACGAAACAGTAAATTATGCAGAGTGTCTCGTTTAGTCGGAAGATCGTTAGATCGCGGTTAAATTTAGGCTAATCTGCGAAATTATAGATAAAAGAATTACACATCTAGAGAACGCGGAACGTTCACCGTTCACTTTTTTAGCCCTGTACCAGTCTGTCAGATCCTGTGCGGAAATATCATGCGAGCGAATGGCATTTAAAATCCGATTTAATTGAGCGCAAAAAATACACTCGGGTATATTAAATCTGGTAGTCATGTGCGTCGCGCATTTATATGATCCTTAAAAACTTCCTTGACGCCTTTTTTGGTACGACGATTCGAGTTAAGTATCAATCAATGGGGAAAACAAATGTTCGCTAAATGGAACAAAATTTATATCTTTAAATAACGAGTCACGGATCATCGACGTTGCGATTAAAAGTTCGCGTTACATAGCGATAGTCTCGCGGAATAAAAGAATACGGAGCCGCATAAAAATCGCAGAACCGCGGAACCTGTTTCAAACGGGGCTACGCACAGTTCGACTCAAAGGGGGTAAGAGAAAAAAAGCGTCCCCGCGAACGCGACTCGCTTAGAAAGCCGACGTTCGCTGGAAGTTGACAAATGCGCGTTAAAACCGCGATCTTGCACGGTATAATTACGCGATATAAGGAAAATCACACAAAACGACCGTTTCCATAATGGGATTATAATCGCGCGCCTTGAATTTTCGACCCCGGCAATCGATGGGTTAAACACGGGTTCCCGATCGCGCTCAATGATACACATTAAGTCCGGACATCGTTTAGACGTCGTCGCGACCGCTAAGGAAGAAACACTCGTCGCGTTGAATACGGTTTACGTTATAAAACCGATCGACCAGCGAGCGCGGTGCCATTATCTTCGCTATCGCCTCTCAATGAGAGAGGCGCCTTTTAAATGTCTCAATCTCTATTTTTCTTTTTCAGAGAGTACTTATGCCTTGTGCGAGAGAACGACAACGCTTTAATGCGATTGAACGATAAATTATCATGTAGAGCGTAGCGAAATAGAGCAGGTAGGTCATTACTTAGTCTAATTAGCGAAAACTGTCGCACGATTAACGACGTGAAATCGACGAGGAACGTTAAGTTTGTATCTTTATCGCGTTAATAATCGAGTAACAGGGTAAACGCTTTACGGCGCAATGACAATATTTTTAGAAAGAACAGCATTAAAGTTAAGATATTTCGAGACGCGCGTAGGTTGAATATCGCACGTAAAATATATGTAGATATATATCAATTTGCAAATACTTACTGCATTTTTCACAATCCTAAATTTTATAACAGATATATATATATATATATATATATATATATATATATATAAATTTAGGATTATGAAAAATGCAGTAAGCATTTGCAAATTGTTCCTGATTTAAAATTCGTTTAATTGCACTATTTTTTAGATAGATAGAGATAGGATGATTAGATGTGCAAGATTGCAGAAAATTAATTTATCAATCGCTTCTATTTTTATTATCACAGTGAAATAATGATAAATTGACTCGCTCTCTCTCTACGCGGTAAATTGTATCCGTGAATTATTGAACGGTGACAAATATCGCTTTTTTTTATTCGACTTTCAGCATTTTATTTTATTATAGACATCATCGTGTGCTCTTCTTGTCATCCAAGTCTTGTGGCAACGTCGTTAAAGCGACGTTTAAAAAATTGCTTTTTAAACATTGATTTTTGGCGCGATATAAACAAGATTTATGCGGCACGCCGTGCCTTGATGTATCACATGTTGCAAACCGGCCCGATCCCTATCCTTTCGTTCATTTTCAAGCCTTTGATTTATGACCGTCTCTTATGTGCACTCGTAAACGTTATATTGGTTTCCCGCGGTAGCATTTACGCCTGCGTCTTCAGGAACCAATTAACGCCGTATCAAGTGCGCCAAAAAAAAGTGTAAACGACGGACGGACAGCGACGATCATGCGCTCAGACTCAGAAAGGCCCTTTCAACTTTTCCGTTCTGCATCATGTATAACGCGCAAAATTGTATTGCGAGAGAAAGATCTCTATTTGCGATTAAAGTGACATGTGAAGAAAAGGCTGGACTTTTTTTTTTAAATTTGATTACAATTTATACGTAAAATGTTATCCAATCGTTTCGAGATATTCGCTGAGAATCTCTACATTGCAAATTACGCGAGGGAGCGTTAATTTTTTCCACATGCGAATCGTTAACCGTATTTGGATTAAACTACAAATGTATATTTTTGACATCATCGTCCGAGACAGAGTTTAGACTCTGTTGTTGGCACTTTTTGCTAACATCTAGACGCTGGTGGCTTGAGCGAGGGCGTGCTGACGTGAGACGCCATGACGCTGAGTGCGTTCCAAAAATACGACGGCACTTTGGCACAGAATACTGCGCCCAGTGAGTTTAGCGGTTGTTTACATCGATAAAGAAGCTGTTGCGAGTGCCATTCCGCGCCATTAGTGATCTCTTATGTTGTCTATAATTCTGACGGCATCTCATTTACTGTTTCGAGTCGTCTGTCTTTAGTGCTTTCAATCACAAACGTCATTGCGTTACTCCGGCATCTCCGGCGGACTAAAGCGAGATGCAAATCTCTAAGGATCGATATTTCTCGTCTTTCATCAGTTACTGATATTATAACATGATATTATAATTTAAAAAAAAAAAAATAAATTTTACAAGCATGAGTTTTTGATATAAATAAGATGGACATTTTTTAAATTTTAATTTAAATTTTTACAACTTATCCCTAATCATTTTATAAAAAATAAATGTAAGAATTTTATGTAATTATTATGATATGTAATTTATGTGACATCTCCTTCTACGAAATATTGATAATTTGTTATCACAGCTTCGAATACTGATTTAATATCTCGCGTGACTTCCAGTATATTAATGATATCGCTAGCTTTGTGTTAGTCGCGAGAAACTTCGCGTTGATTTATCGTGTTGAATTTTCGAGACAATTTGGTAAGATCGTTCTTCGCGGACACGCGCGAGTCGCGAGTCGACCATTCGCAGCTGGCTATTATTGTCACACAGTGTTCACAATACGAGGGCGACGACGAGTCCTCCTCGCGCGGGAGAGACATGAGTACATTCATCCGCGTTCACAGACCGCATCAGCGAGACTTGGGTCCGTTCAGAGCGCGGTTCCACCATGACTACGATTCATAGTCCCGCGGGTGTACCATTAATGAGAGTTTCTCCTTGCGGCAACTGGCCACTGTTATTATAGCTGCTCATAACAGTCAAGCATCGCGCCGGCAGTCGTGCTGGCAGCCGCGACTGTGAGGCATTGAGCGTCTATTTTCACGCGCGTCGCAAACAGCCTCCTTGTTGCACGATTTCAAGCGAGTGTCCAGCCGTGGACTGCCACCCCCTCGTACATGTCTAGTCAATTAGAGTCGACGAGGCGGAAAGATTTCGCGCTGGAACGGCGGCATACTTGGAACCAAGTCAATCGTTAACGCGGAATTGAAACACGAAAACAGTGAAAAAATAGAAACTCCTTTGGATTATCTAATTCTCATATTGAATGAAGCCTATCGTTTCCGATAATACCAAAATATTATATAGCTTATACATTTTTCTTTATATATAATAATTATAAGAGAAAAAAAGTTATTTTTAAATTTATTTTTCAGTATTAATTACGTATATTATATGTAATATTTATTTTTTTTTGTCGTACCTTTACTTATCTTTTTTTTTAATCGAATTTTAATAGAATTATATCAAAATGAATTTTAATGCGAAATGTGATATTCATCAGTGCTCTTTTATACATGCGAGCTATTAATCTTGATATAATGATAATTAAGAGAAATATGATAATTATGATAATTAAAAGAAACAATGTAGGACTCTTTCATGGAACGTTAAATCATTATAATAAGAAATATATATTTTCTTCACTTGAGTTATTTTGCCACTTTCAAGACGATAAATGATGTCTTTTATGTAGAGATTGTCATAATGTCATTACTTGATCATTAGCGGACATGAGATTCGATTGTTATCTCCTAACATAAATGATAGAATGTAGACACAATTATAAAATACATCGTGTCAATATCCTTCCTTAAGTACATCAATTATTATTTTAATAATTAATATTGCTATT